AGGGGGCCATAGCTGAAGTACTATACATGCTTGTGTCACGCTCAGTAAGCTAGCAGTGCCATCGATAAATTTAAGGCCAGTAATGACCTTTCTAAATAACAGCAATATCAATATCATAACCTTAATGCTAAAATAACTTTAAAGATAGGTAGGGAACATTATCTTTTAACATTTATATTTCTCTAGAGCAGGGGTGCCCAAAAGGTAGATCCCCAGATGTTTTATACTACAGCTTCCATGATGCTTTGTCATTCTAAAGGAATTCTAGATGCATGCAAAGCATCATGGAAGCTGTAGTTTTAAAACATCTGAAGATCTACCTATAGGGCACCCCTGCTGTAGAGGATCAGGAATCAGCAGTACCTTATCTCAACCATCCTCTAAACTGTTCAAGGTTTCATGATTGCATTACTTAATTACATTGTGTAACATTGCCTCCTACCTTATTTCATTAAATATATACCTGGTGGCGCCTGTTTGCTGCACTGTCCAACATTTACACCCTGTGTAATCTCTAAAAACCAAAAACCAACAAATACAATTCCCATCTGAATAACTTTACCCCTCTACCCAGTGGAATTTGTGTTGTGTTTCTACAAAGACTTTAAGAACCTTATAGGCATCTTCAATCATGAATTTGTAATCTCGAAATAACCGGTGATCCTTCAACAAGACTCAACTTGCCCAGCAGACATTTATGTAGGCAAGTGAATAAAGAATAGTGACATTTGTCTAATGCTTTAAATGCATTGCCTCTTCAGCCGTAAATAGTGTCCAATCCATATATTGAAAGAGTAAGCTCAGAAGAAAAATACATTTCATTTTTCTTTTTTTTACATTTCTTATTTAAAAATACACATAAATTATACAGGTGAAGTTAACGTACAAGTAGAAAAGCAGCCATAAGAATTTTATATATTTACCATAAATAAGGACTGTAACCCAAATAGTGTAAAAATAAAAAATAAAAAATAAATAAAGAGGAAAGATGTCAAATATGCCAATGTTCAAAATTATTTTCTAAATACAGTAAAAACTCTACATTGCTAATAACTGTGTTTATTAGTAAATGAAGAAATATCATATTTTCAGTGATCAGACTACAACTGAGGAATTCAGGATTGCTCCAAGTCTTGTATTCTAAAAAGAATGTGGATAATGTGGATAGTGTATTCTACAGTAAATTACAAATACATTATGTTAATGCCACATATTAATATTACATAGACCTTTATGGCCTTTGTAGATAACATTACACAAGAAAATATGTTCTCGAGAACAAGAATTTGGAAGCCTTGTAACCAAGCAAAATTTTTCTCAAGCTGGCTGAATGCTATAGCAGAAAGGACTTTTTGAAAATGTAATGTTTTTGCTGATTTTATGATTTTAATGTGTTTTCTTATATTATTGAATAAATTGTTATTCAGGTGAATTAAATTTGTCTTCAGTTTCGTGATGGTTACTGGAGTTCGAAGAGATGGCATCCTAAAAACTGACACCATTGCTTATGCATATGGAGCCTGAATAGGTGGCTCCATGCCATGTGAGTGCTTTCAATAAACTGTATTATAGATTTCATAGTTTGTCAAATGGTGTTGCACTAGTTCATTTGTGTTTTTTTTTTGTCTTTTTAAGAGATATTGGCACAGATAAAAGTCCTCTAGTAAGAGAACCAGATATAACATATAAAATTCACTAAAAGCTGGTACATCATATATTTTAATAATCGAAGCAATGTTCAGATCTCTACTTTTCTCACTACAAACAATGAAGATGTGCACTGTGAGATATTTTTTATTTATGTATCTGCCAAGCTAAATCTTATGTATAAGTTAACTGTAAGATAAATAAATTCATAACAGCGCACCAATATTTTCTAGTTTCAATAAAACTTATACACGTAAATTCTCTACAGAGGGTCACTTTATAAACCCCAAATGTATGTCATATAAAAATATAGAAATAGCAAGTTTGGCCATTGTTAAATGGACCTCAATATCAAGTACAATAAAAAAAGATGAACAAAGCTGTCACAAATACATACATGAATACTTAAAAAGTTATTCATTGAAGTGAATTCATAGTATTGTGTTCTAAAATCTGAATTCTTCTCTATTAGATGTGATATAGATGTGGGTTAAGCTCTAGCTCAGTGGTAGGCAACCTTTGGCACTCCAAATGTTGTAAACTGGACCTCTTATGATGCTCTTACAGTCATTACATTGGCAAAACACCAGGGGAGATGTTGTCCACAACATCTGAAGTGCCAAAGGTTGCCTACACCTTTGACTTGTTAATCATCATAGCTATTGTCAATGTGTTTCGGAAATAAGATTTTCCTTGAATATTTAACAAGGTAAAAAAAATCTAATGATACTTCAACATAGTCGTAAATTGTGCAAATAGCGCACCTTTGATTTCTTTGAAGATTCTTTATTAATAATTTCATAAAACTGTTCCTTCTTTTTAATCATGAGGACAATTGCTACCAACGTTCTGTTTATTTTATTACATACTCACTGTGCTTGCCATTAATTTATCTTTGTTTGTGATGTATATACTTTCATGTATTGTCTTCTTAGAATATCCTGTTGCAACTTTGCCAGGTCAAATACCCCCTGGGCACTGTCATCTACATGGAGAAGCATTCTGTAGATTTTCTGTGTGACCTATATAGGTCATGTGCCATCAACATTCATTCAAAGACGTGCACCTTTTGTGTGTGATGCAACTGAATGTGCATGTCTGTGTCCATTACAATGGCTGCCTTAATATGAAAAAACTATTAAATAAAATTCTAACTGAACTTATCCATTTTAAATTTACAATCAGATTTTTGACCAATGTTCATTCTATAGAAGATACATATATTTAATGTTTTAAAGAAAACTGATACAGATATTAGTTTAATTAAAATTTGATTAATTAAAAAATAGAAATAAAACACAGACAGGAAGCAAAGTAAGTATGGTTCCTTAATACTAACTTCCACTTTTAAGACAAGTTTGCCGGCATTCCACAGGATTACAATAGTAACACTTCTTTTCAGTCCAACAGGCCCTGCGCCCCATCTTTTGTTTGCTGATTAGCCTGTCCATTGATTGACCAGATCACTAATTGCATGCTACTTGTAGTCAACCTACATTACTGTAAGAATTAATGAGACACAATTACAGTTCCCAGAATTCTCTACCAAGCTTACTCCAAAGTACTTCAAATGAATAAGAGCGCCTCGCGAATAAAGACAAAAAATGTCAGTCTTTTGTTAATTGAATTTTTTTTCTTTTTTTTTTTAAAAATGTGTATTTATTTAAACCTGTTTAATAATTAGGCCCTTGAGGATGCTTGACAGGGAAGAGAAAGAACTTTGGAACAAGTAACAAGTAAAAAAAAAAAATCTTTGTAAAGTTGGAAGTGGGAAAAAGGAATCTCCATGGGTTATAAGAAATGATTGACCTAAAGAAAGAAAAAAAAACATTGCAATTTAGTGTATCGCGGAGGTAAATGGGATACATAATTAAAATAAATCTTCAACTGAGTCCTTGTTTGCATGACTCTACCCAGAATCCTCTTCTGCCTTTGCAGCAATATATGCTACTGACTGTGGGAAAATTGACTATATTTTTTATGTAGCATATGCAACAGAGCTGCACATTGCATATGCAAAGCAACATGTAGTTTAACTAACATGAAACAAAGATGTTTATTAGCAATGTAAAAAATCCAAGACATTGAATATATCAGGAAATCTCAGATAGATATATGTCACGCTTCGAGATTTGTTCATTTGTTTTAGATGTTTTGTGAGTTTTGTTTAACTTTTGTAGAAAATAAACCCATTGCAAAATGAAAATACAAATTTTCATAATGTTTCTAATTTAAAAAAAAGAAACAAAAAGCATAAGGAAAGCTCTAAAATGCATATTTTAATCCGTAGAAGGGTCTTACGCGTTTATATTCTCTTCTAACCCATTATAATCATCATTTTGGACACTGCATGACAACAAATGCTTGAAGGCTCCTAAAATGATTTAGAAAATTAATTAAAACAGATGGTATTTTCTGATCGTGTCAAAACAATAGTTATCTTAACTATACAAACAAGGTATTTTTTAACAGAAAAAAAAAATGCCTTTCTGATATTTCATACGGACATGTGAATTGGGGAAGAAAGTGAGCATCCTACACAGGTTGTTTAACGATAAAGTTTACTTTTTAATGAGTGCCGAGTTTATTAACCTTTGCCATTAAAATGATTATATTAAAAGGGCAAAAATTATAGTATTTCTACTAAAATGACTTTTCATGAACCACTCTACACACATAAAGCGCTACAGCATGCGGAATTGCTTCATGTGTCTGGAGTCTGTTGTATTTCTGGCATTTATTAAAATGCCTATTTCAATAGAAATCAGCACTACTATAATTGTGGGCAGAAACACCTCCCTGGCTGTCACTCAGAAGGCCAGGTAGGTTTTCTTCCTCTAAAGTTAGCTCCACAGAGGTACTAAAAGCAGCAGATGCGCTTAGCAGGGGCAAACCTGCCTTTCTGTTTTCAAAGAGCTGTACTGGAGCGTAATGTGAAGCATATGAAACCCACGATTGCATGCATGCGCCATTGCGGCTCCTACTCAGAGCCTTCTCAATTAGCAGCCTCTGATTGGAGAAATAACGGCAGACAATTTTCCTTGAATATTATTAATAATGTATTCAAAAATAAATCAGCATTTAAAAAACTAACTCGCCTCACTACACAGCAAGTCCTTCACATTTGGCTCCTCCCAATTATGTGTGACCTACATTTGTCCTCTGTCCAGACTTGCACCCTCCTCTCTTACCTGGAGGACATCCCTAAAGCTGTAAAATGGTTATGAACTGCCCTTCCTCAACCTGGTTTTTATACAAAAACCTAATTGTTTAGCAAAGCCGATCCATTCACTAGTTAATCATTCTAGCTATTGCATTGTGTCCTTGTCTCACCTTCTTTTTGTCTCTAATAACTTTGTTTCAATTTGCCCTCTACAACTTGTTATACTACAGTATGTATTGTTTATGTGATATACGGTGAGTACACCTAGCAATCAGTCTTCTGTCAGGATACTCTGCACTTTAACCTTTTACCCTCTGTGTAATTATAAGCCACTCCAAGATCATATGAGCAGTGCTCTCGTTACCTTCAGTTCCTGAATGCAAAAGTTATTTCATTTAACCACTGAACAGCTTTATATAATATATTGGTATTTTGTAAACAATAATTAAAAAAATAAAATTCTGATAATCTCTCAACTTCTTGGACAATGGGTCCAACTCACCCATAAAATGTATCAGTAATAATAAGATATGATCCATATGATCCTCTTTATTGCATTATGTATTGAACCATTGCTGATTATCAGTATATTTACCATTACAAGTCTCAGTCCTTAATATTAGTAGACTCCATTCCATTCTGTAATAACAGTTTTATTCATTTGAAGATTGCCAAAGGACCGTGAACGTATCTTGCTTAAACAATTAAGTAGGAATTACAGAAATAACTATTTGTCTAGTATAGATATTCTAAATTTATTTATTTTTTTAACCTCAACAAATGTTACCGGTTTAAAAAAACAAACAGTGTCTATAATTTATCTATATTAGAAAAATGGCTAGAAGTTCTCAGTTAAGTTGTTATGGTGCCTAGAAATGCTAGGCAGCATCTTACCTTAAGGGTTTAAATAATTTTTACGAAGTTGTAAAGCCATAGCCCATCAATTCTACCCCCTGGTTTCTGATGTTGGGCACTGAATGTCAGATGACACTCTTAGCCTATCAAAAGTTTCCCGTTCACAAAATTGTCTGAAAAAGGTGCATACTATTTGTTTAACCCAACTGTGTCCAACCTGCAGCCCGTGAACAGTGGTCCGCGCCCCTGAACCGCTTTTAATATAACACAGTTGCCATCCGGGCTGCCATTACACACTGTGCTCTTCCTGCACAGCTCCCTCAATTTCCCTGCAGTGAACCGGCAGCTGGCATATGACATCATCTCGATATCACTACAGGGCACACAAATGACCTGTGCAGGAAGAGCACAATGATCCCATCACAGCAGCAACCACTGGCCACTAGGGAGATGATCCACTCCAGCTCTCCCAGACCAAGGTAGGGAAGCTAGGTGGATCTCTCAATTTCTAAATGTGAGTGTATGGATGTGATTTTTGTGTGTGTATGCCAGTAATTATGTGTGGATGTGATTGTGTGTCTGTGAATTTGTGAGTGTGTCTGTGGTTTTGTTTCTGTATTTCTGTGAATATGTTTGTGATTATGTGTATGTCTGTTTGTGTATATATATCTGATTATGTGTGTATGTTTGTGAGTGTGTTTATGGTTCTGTGAGTGTGTGTGTGTGTTTCTGTTATTGTTATTCATCTCCTGCAATTGTCATTAAATAAAAAATAAAAAACACTAATTCTTCATTGTATACTATTTTACCAATCTACTTCCCTAATTCTTCCCTTACCTTTTGTGTCCCTTTACCTTACTCCGGCTAGCTTTAAGCTCATTGAGTAGTGCCCTCAACCCCTTTGTTTCTGTGCATCATACTTGTCTGGTTACAGTTACATGTTTATTAGTCCACCCATTGTAAAGCGCTACAGAATTTGTTGGCGCTATATAAATATAATAATAATAATTGTGTGTATATTTGTCATTGTGTATATGTATGTGATTGTGTGTATAGATCTGTGTTTTTATGTGTGTCTTTGCGAGTCTGTGATTGTGTTTGTGTATGTGTGATTGTGTGTGTATATGTGGGTCTGTAATTGTGTTTCTATATGGCTGTGTGTGTGTGTTTTCCTGGGGAAGCCAAAAGATTGGACATCCATGGTTTAGCTTCTTTAGATAACAAGGTGTATAGGAAATACTTTCCCCATAACAACTTAATTGAGATGAAGTTGTTATGGTGCCCTGAGTGGTCCTTTAAGCTTGGTTTTAAGTCATTAACTATTTCTAATCATGGCACCATCGTTGTGTAAAGTTAGAAAACATTTTCAATCAGATATGTGGCGAAAGTAACCTTGCCACTGGTTCTTGGAGGGGCTGCTTGTCAGCCTCTTGCCCCAGGACTATGGCCCATGTATTAGGCCTTGGTTCAGGACTGTGGAAAGGTTTTGTTCATGCCTTTTCCCTATTATGGTTCGGTATATGGGGCTTACCAAACGGATTGTACTTATTCTGTTCGGTTGCCGAACAGTTGGACCACCCAGAACAGGAGTGTGCAGCCCATTAACCTCCCTGACTTATGTTTACGTTTCAAGGCTTTATTGTAGCAGAAATTTATAATCACAATAGTTTAACGGTGCTGTAGTAGCGAACTTGTATATGAGTATTACAAAGGAGCATCGACATGCAGTAAACAATTAGTCAGAGGACACATGAATTTGTATATCGTATCAACTTGTTGGTCTAGCTTGGTTGTCAGTACTTGTTGTGTATAGTGCTTTCACCCCCCCCCCCCAGGACTATGCTAGCGTGTTACCCGGTCGTGGGGTACGCTATCAGTGTTTCTTGGTAGGTGGGTGGGTCCCCCCCGGTGGGAGGGGGGTGGGTCATCTGATTCCTCATTGTTTCATAGCTTCATGGAAGCGTGTGCATTTAGGTGCAGTTTATTCACGTTGCAGTTACTGCTAGTGTGTGATTTGCGGATCTCCTAGCAGTATCGTGGTGTAGTTGGTTATAAAGAGTGTTTTTACTAGGCTTTCTGTCGTGACTAACAATGCGATTGCTGAGTTGCTGCTAGGAGTGAGGGGTTCGTTGTTGTTTCAGAATAGCGGTGTGTCTGGTTACGTGAGTGTGTCATTGATAAACTTGTGTGTTGTGTTTTCAAATGGATACGGATGGTTCTCTAGGTGTGGTTTGTGCTATTGGTTGGTCAGTGGATGTTTGTCAGCGTGTCTCAGCTAGTGCCTTTTTCACCTATGTTGGTTTAGATTTAGCTTCTTGGGTATGGCATGGTGTATCTCCAGCGTCTGTAGTGGTGGGTATTTATTTTTACGTCTCTCATTTCCCTTTGGGGTCATTTCGGTTCTCCCTGTCTTATGTTTAACCGCAATGTTCTAAGTGGTTAGCTGGGTGGCCGTCATTTGTATGTGTGAACATGTGGTGGCGGCCATCTTTAGCCGCGAACACATGTAGCGGTCTTTGGGCGTCGAGTGCAAGGAACTATAATTGGACACTCGACAGCATGAACACCGCTGGGACTTCCATTTCTACATATATTCGGCTGGATTCGTATGGGAAGAGTGGAGTTCAGTGGGAAAAAGCTCCTGAACGAGGGATATAGACTGAACCTACCCACAAACCACTACATTCGGTATTTTGACTGTATTTCGTATTCCCGAAAGAGTCTGACCGCACAGCCTGAATTCATGGAACTCTGTTGGGCAGGAGCTTCGTGTGTGGTCGGTCAAAACATGACATCCATGGAAATCCTGAACCACTGAACCGATCTGGGTAATTTTTAGATATGTTGGGTCCCCAAATCAGGGCTATCAGGAGATATGACTATATTAGGGTTTCCATGTGTTTTGGGGGTATTTTTAATATGTTATAAAAATGTGTGGTTTTGTGTCTGGAGATAATTGAGTTAATACAGTGCTTGACTCAATTATCTCCCAGGTACAGAGGAGGGATTAACCTATTATGTGTAGGAGTGTCCTGGATCTGAGATCCAATGTGATTGTGTATTTGTTTCTACTGTGGTTTACTCTCAGATCCAGGGGGGAGTGCCCCTTGCATGGGAACTTGCATAAAAGGCCAGTTGTGGCTACCAATAAACGAGTTCCTGTGCACCCTCAACATGGAGTCTCATGTCATGTGTGGGGGAAATGGCTGTATCTACCCTGGGGATTGCTATATCACTATACTCCCCTGAGATTATATCTTTTAAGAGCATATTGCTACACTCTCTTGGAGGAGGGTCTACCCACTGGAAGCTGTATTCTGGTCTTGGGTCCAGGGTGGGTGGAGGACAGCGAGACCCCAGTCAAGCTGTAACGCTGTAAGTGAGGTCTACAGTGCTGATGGTGTCTGGTGCGGTGCTTGTGGTAAGCATTAAGGAAGCAGCGATTGGCGGAGGCACCCAGTTGGGGTGCCAGGCGGTCCGTCACAAGGTAATTTAAACTTATCTTCCTGTTTGGTTGGACCAGTCATAAGGATCATTGGTTCATGTTTCCCGAATTCCTCACTTCACATTGAAAAAAAACCTATGATATAATTCAAGCTCACTGCAGAGAGGGTAATAGATATCTGCAATTGCATTCCAATGGAAGGGATAGGAAGGAGTAAAGACTGTTAAAGAATCTGAAAATCTCTAGGACAGGGCAGGTGCCTGAGATAAAAAAAACAAATCATTATGAGATTACAGGTGGGGAGATTAGGTGGATTAAATGGTTCAACTGTTTTTTTGTTTGTCTCTGGAATCCATCTTAACTAGGCAAGTTTGATTAGTATTAATTAAACATTATTGCTTCTGTTTCATCTCCTGTAGTAAAGGACTTGCTCTGGAAAGATGAGATTTTACAAAAAATAAAAGACCCATTTTATTGCAAGTAGCTTCCTATGATCGACTAATGCTGGACTCTTCGTCTTTGACCTATGAATGTACATGCTTAATTTTCCCAGCTGAGGTTGTGAAATGAGATTTGAGCTGTCAATTATTAATATGTTGCTACTATCTTATCTGTAAAAGATAGGAAGAGTCCTGTCTGTAACGTTTTCACCTGGGATCTGAAAATGGCATTTGTTTCATAACATTCAGTATTCACAGGTGACAGATGAATCTGCAAAGATTACAGTGGAATGTCACAACCACACTACTAACTCCTGCAATGTATTATTTAAAGCTTATTGTGACAGATCGCCTGGGACTCCGACCAAGTTCCTCTGTCTATCGCTGCTTCCTTGTACTGACAAGTACCATAAGCACTGCGCTGGAGCACCAAAACCACCGCAGACCCCACAAACCGCCGCAGCTTGGTTGGGGTCTCGCCGTCCTCCACCCACTCTGGACCCAAGACCAGGATCCAGCTTCCAGTAGGTAGACCTCTCTTAATCCAGAGAGCAGGAACAGGAACAGTTCTTACAAGAGCTTAGTGATTATACTCTGGGAAGTATAGTGATTATAGCAATCCCCAGAGTGTACGTCTCCAATCCCCCATACATGAGA